CTCCTACCCCCCCGGGAAAAGGAAAAAACAAAGCGGCGGACGCGAAGCAACAACTGCAAGCCATCATGGCGGACCGCCGTTTTTCGGACGACACAGCAACAGCAGACAGCATCGTCAACGTTGGCAACAGCGACGATAGCAATAGTGACAGCGAAAGATGACTCACACACAACCCTAGCTGACTTTCTACGGTGAGGGGCACTCGTGGTGCAGACGCAGCAGCCCTCGCGTGCCTCTGCAAGGGTACTTTGGAAAGTGCTCCAAATACTTTTGAGAGGGTTGTCAAAAAGTTGGAACGAAGTGGAGCAAAGTTTTCGCGCCCAACTTCGTTCCAAATATTTCTGAAAAAAATGGACAAACGCCTACATACAGGTTCCATGTTTTTGACACTTTCAAAAATTTTGACAAAAAGTCGGTCCGTTTAAAACGGCCCTAAGTCCGCTGTTCAGCACTGCCATTACAGCAGTTCATGAAATGCCACCAGATATTGCCACCAGACAGGAGCAAGTATTGATGATGCACCCCTTTTCTTTCGATGCTTGCCATGTCACTTGCGGATTCCTCCTGATGTTCTCCTCCAGATCTGCCGCTACTGTTCTGTCGACGATAAGGGGACCAACTACCCCGCAGACCGCATGGTGCACCCGTCCGTGTACGACACCAAGGACTTCCATGATGCGCTCATGATGCAAGAGCAGCGGAGAGCGAAACGCCCCAAGCCCGACGAAGCAAAGGTGTGTTGCGGTTTCTGTCCAAAACGATGGGTTGTTGTCGCCATCTCGCCGATCGTCGTCGACAACCTATGCATACGGCCTTTCTCCGGCAGCTCTCCCCCTCTCGAATGCCCGGCGCTGTGGTGTTGAGCTCCCGTGGGTGTTCGTGTTGGTGCTCCTCTCGAATAGGCTTGTCGCCACTTTTTCTCATCTAAACAAGCGTTTTGTTTGGTAGCTGTTGCAAGGTCTTCGAATCCCCGGCGCTGCTGTGTTTAGCTTAGACCCGTGGGCGTTCGTGTTGGTGCTCCTCTCGCGCAGGCTAACACCCCTCATCTAAACAAGGGTTTCCTTTGGTAGCTGTTGCAAGGTCTCACTTCAAAGAGGTTTCTACTTCGTAGGTATCCCAATGGCCCGTGTGGAGTATGGTAGCAGCACTGCTGTTGGTCTTTTCTTGGCACTGAGTGAAAGCCTGCTGCTGTACCTTGGCTCCTTTTCTGGCGCGCGACTTTGTTACGATCATTGTGGGGCAAGCACTGCACATGGCAGCGAGGGCCTGTAGCCTACTGCACAACTTGCCGATGGTGGTGACGGTGACATTCAAGAAGTACGACTTTGTCGAAGCTAATTCGCTTCCGAAGTACATGCATCAGCAACCGAGCGAAAGCCGATACAACGGCAGCCCCGCCAATAGGGAGGCCTCGCGATTTGTCTCTTCCCATAATCTCGAGGGGGTATAGGTCTTGGTTTGGTATGATACCGACTACAACATCTAGAGTGTAGTCCCTTTCATGACAAACCGGTGCTACTACAGCATCCCATGGCCTCGCTCCGAAGACGATGTTCCTTCCTGGCCGACATCTCATCATCTGTTCCCCCCCTCCCCCCCCCCCCCCCCCCCCCCCCCCCCCCCCCCCCCCCCCCCCCCCCCCCCCCCCCCCCCCCCCCCCCCCCCCCCCCCCCCCCCCCCCCCCNAGCAGTGGCACAAGGTGCGACGGTGGCGGCAGCGGCAGCGGCGGCACCACCGCTGCGACCAGCGGCTGCAACGGGGGCCCGAGGCTCGGTTGATGCGGCTGTTCCTGCCGCCTCGGGTAGCACTCGAAAGCGGGGGAGCAAGTGGGGGGTGGCCGGTAGCAGCTTGCCGTTCGCCGGGCAGCAGATGCAAATGCAAGCAGCAGCGCCAGTGCCAACGCCCCATATGCAAGGTTCGGCAGCAGCTTCAACTCTTCCTCTGGCAGGTGCTGTTTTGCATGCATCTGTAGGAAATTGGAGAGAGAGAGAGAGAGAGAGAGAGAGAGAGAGAGAGAGAGAGAGAGAGAGAGAGAGAGAGAGAGAGAGAGAGAGAGAGAGAGNGAGAGACAGAGAGAGAATAGACATGGACATATCCTAACAAGCAGACGTCCACCCACTCCATCGCTACTTAGTCAATCCTGGTCTTTGAAACTCGTGCTACTGCGAGGCACCTTACCCCTACCCTTATTCTACTCCCATTTCATCGACGCCTCCTCCCTTCCCTTCCCGAAGTGGCGGCAGCAACAGCTGCGGCGGCGGCAGCGGCCGCAGGGTCGGGGATGGCACGAACGGGATCGGTGGGGGCCGGTACGACGGCGCCAGTGTCAAAGGGGAGGGTCGGATTTTCGGCGGACCCGGGGGCGACCGCCGCGCGAGCTGGGCAGGCCGCCTTGCTCCTCAACGCGCAGGTGCAGGCTGCGCAGGCGGAGAAGGAGGCGCAACATCGTGCGGAGGCGATCGCGAGGGTTCAAGTGAGTCAGAGGTTGGATACTTGCCGCGCGAGTGAGTGATGTGGTCCATGCCAAGGTGTCGGGTACTCCGTTTGTCTGGTCGTTCGGGGTAGCGCGGGCTTTCGAACAGGGCCAACTATGTGGTGTTCGAGCGAAGCAACATCTGAGGCCACCGACATCAACGTTTGTGGCCAGGCCAGTTTGAACGAAACAACGAAACAAATCCAGTTGAACGCCCGTAGGTCCAGCAGAGGTTCACTGCCCCATGCTTCCACGTACCGTTACCAACAACGGCCGGTGGAGTGTTCACCTTCAATTCGAAGGGTGGCTTCCATGAGCTACATAGCGGCTGCTGGCACAAAGTGTTATGAACAGCAATCGCGCCCTTTGTTGTGCAACGGCAATGGGCTCGGTAGTGTTATGATGGCATGTATGTGCTGTTGCAACCTAGGGTCGGTGGTAACGCTGGAACGGTTCATGTGATTTTTTTGTTCTAAAAGGCCAATAGGTGGGTGGATTCGGTCGACCGTTGGTTTCGTTCGTGTTTGGTGCTGCCAACAGCTCGTTCGGGTGATGCTTTCCGCGCAAAATTGTAATAATCACATCAACCCTGCCAACGAACGCTATGATAATGTTGGTGACACTGCCATTGCCACGGCTCTCGTGTTGTGTTCACGGGGTTTCGTGTTCATGTGGAAAGCACTACAATACAATAAACCTTCGTGCTCATGTGGAAAGCACTACGATACAATGTACCTTCGTGCTCATGTGTAAAGCACTACAAGTACATTGTACCCAGGAACATGTGGGTGTAGTGTCCGCCAAGCTGTTGTTGCGGACGTTCGGGCCCGTTGCTTCGCAGCCTTGAGCAGTGTCGCAGCGTGAGCCTCCTCGACCTTCCCCCATCCGGTCAATTCCGTCTCCAGCGATGATCACGCGACAACGTATTCTAACCAAAATGTCTCTAGCACGGCAGTGTCGTAAGGATTTGAAAATGTGCAGATCATGCATCGAAGTAGTTACGATTGCCAACGACCTTGAACCGCAGCAACGCCAACAGCAAAGAGTCGTTCGTTACCACCCTCTTTGCCATATTGTTGAGTTATTGATCGAATCCCGCACCCTTCCTCTCCTTCGACTTGCCCTGTTTGTCGTCTTGTGGCCCCAGATGATCGCCAACAGGGCCGGAAAAACAGCGTCAGCATCGACCCAGGAGCCACCAAAGAAGCAACAACGCTTGAATTGACTCTGTATGACAGGTTGAATGAATCGAGTCTTGACAAAGGTTTTCTGGAGTCTTGATTGCGTCTACGCGAAAGTGTAATTGGTTGGAAAAATCAAAAGTGTGCCACACCCTACACTGTACTCTGGTGGCCGGGACGTCAGGCGGTTGAACGAGAACAAGCTTTGTCGGCTTTCCGCATACATGGAACCCTTGTGCAGAGAGGAGGCTGCGTTTTGTCTCGTACGATGTGGCACGGCACGAGATGGTCATGCGCCGTTTTTTCGTGTGTGCAAGACTGTACTAGCAGGTGCTTTGGATCGGGGTGCATGATTGTGTGCTAAGGCAGAGATACGTAGTCCTAGCCTGCCCGAAAGCGTCATTTTCTCAAGCGGGATTGGTGTGGCTCCGGTTTGGTTGACCTTCTTCAGCTGCCACCGCACACAATAGCTCCAACAGCATTATCACGTCCAACGAGCAGGAGGCGTACGTGACGTTTCAATAAATGGCAGGCTAGGTTCTTCGAGTACGTACGCGGACGAGGGGGATGTATACATATAGAAGTATCCTCTATTGCGTATTGATGGTCTTGTTCCTTAACCGTACAGGTACTGGCCGGCGATAAGGAAGATAAGTGAAGTAAGCGTGCTTCAGGGCCCGCAGATCCTTTGTGGAATAGATTGCCTTGTGCCCACGGCTGCTTCCCCAACTAATTTTTACTTCAAGTGCCGTTTGTTTGTGTCCTTGATCCTTGTGTACGATGGCGTCACACAAAGAAAGGCACTACTACGTAGGGAGGAGTACTGCAGCAGACTCCAAGTGCCGTTTGCGTCTAGTAACGATGGCGGCGTCACGAGCTGAGCGTGGATAAGAAACAAGGTGGTACATAGCTCGAGAGGGGGGGTGGTATTCATCATCATCAGCAGGTAGGAGAAAAAAAGAAAACTCGCTCTGTTTGCTGTGCCTCTCTGCGTTTTGTTGAGCTGGCAACTCAATAGCGTGTGCGATGGAGGTGGCCAGACGCATTAGTCCCTCGCACACAGTATAGAGAGGCGTACAGCATTACCACTGGACCACCAATGGTGGTGCGTAGCAGCAGCGTTGTCTGTCTGTGTGTTGTTGGTGTGATCTGATGTGCCTCTCTCCAAGGAAGGAGAGGTATGAAGAAGGCGCTGCCGCCGTCACCTGCCGCCGCCGCTGACTGCTAGCAAGCATCGGTGCCAGAGACCCAGCCAATCAATATGTTCATTCAAAAGCATATCTTAGAGAAAACCTCGACGTCCTGCACTGCAGCAACAGCAAAGCCACACAGAAACCACAAAATAGACTGCGGACACCAGAGAGCAAGTTTCAGGTAATGCCCGATGTCGACGAAAACCGCTTACAGGCAGTTGCGCTATGATGTGGCCGGTTGATGCCTTGACAGAAGTCATGTCGCTGCAAAAACCGCAGCGGGGGGCAAAACCCAGCTAAATCGACGCCCCAACTGGCGAAAACACCATCCTTGAGGAGCGTCGCCGAGAATGCAGACAAGATGCCTGGGCATTGATAATGATACAGCAGTCATGCAGCGGGGCACATGATGACGCAACAAAACGAGACTCACTTTGCAACGGCCAAAGCCACCTGGCAGCAATACTGCACAATATACCAATGTGAGGGCAGCAGTGGTGGTCACTTGCGAAGGTACCTAGGTTAACGATGAGTAGCAAAGGTTGGTGTGTACACAGCAACGTACATTTTTCCTGTAACCAATACCTGGGGGTCATGATGATTTTCCCGCAAAACAAGAGAAACCGGCTGGTGTCAATGCCTGCCTTGAAATCGTCGAGACTTACCAACATCATCTGGAGGCGCACAACTCCACTGCACCATGAAGCTCATCACATCAAACACATGTAGATCCCTGCTTTAATGCAGTCAGCCAATTTCACATCGCAAGGCAGGCTGTAGGCTCCTCTTCTTCGACGCGAACCCACCCCACCTTCGCCTCGCTACAAGATCCCCGCTGCCGCCGCCGCCGCCGCCCTCCGCTTCTTCTTGAGAGCCTTCCGCTGCCGCGGGTTCAGCCTTCGCTCGGTGGTCACCGCCCCCGTCTGACTGAGCTCGTCAAGAGACCTCAACACAGAAACACCCCCCCTCTTCTGTGCGATGGTCCCTTCGAACACGGCCTCGGTGTGGCTCCCGCAGTGCACGTACCACACCCCAGTGAAGGGCGAGTCTGCGTGCCCCGTGCCCTCCGGGTGGTCGAAGTAGTACTTGTTCTCCGGCACCACGTAGAAGGGCTCCCCGCCCGGTCCCGCGGCCGGCCCGAGCACCGTCAGTCGGTAGTAGTCTTTGGTTGCGACATAGTTTGGTACGAGAAGGAACCAGGGCTTGCCAGAGGCCCTGCAGTACTCCAGGCAGCGCTTCTTGTGGTCACCGCTGTAGGGGGGGTTGGTTATGAGGACGTCGTGCTTGGGCTGCCGCTTCTCGCGGACGACCTTGTAGAAGTCTTGGTTGCTGTGCTCGACCTTGGGGAACCCCAGCTGCCCTAGCAAGCGCGGCGTGCGGCCCGCGCAATACTGTATTGTTGGTGTTGTACCCGAGTATCGTCGGGCGATGAGAACGAAAGGCAAGGATACATACGCATATCAGGATTGTTCAGTATCTCCTGGGCTAACGGTGAGGTCGCGAGCTGGTAGGTGTAAAGTGGGGTGGGGAGTCGATCCGACGCAAGAGAGACGAGATGCATGTGGTATGCACATGTCGATGCGGAAAGAACAAAACAAAACACTTTTTTCGGATCATGGACACCGGCGACCAAAGCAAAGACTGTCGGTTAGGGAATTTGGCACAGGAAGTGGACTCTCTAAATTGGGATAAACATGAGATGAACAGCAGGTTCCTTCAAAACACTCTCATGAAGATGCGGCCTAATCTCCCCCTGTTGTGCCGCGTTGATGGTTGATGGTCATGCTCGCTGGTCTCTTCGCTCGAAGGGAATCAACATGCTGGCGAGGAACAAGACTCACGTAGGGGTCCCAGATCCGAAGATGCTTCCGCTTCTTGTCCAGCAGCTTGGCCAGCAATGCTAGCGGGCCCTCTATATCTCGGTAGGCTTGAAGCGGTGTTTCAAAATGGTCACCGTACTCGGTCGGGAAGGGGTGATGGTGTGGGGCTGCCACGCTCTCTCTCGGTCTTTTCTTCCCCGCCAGGGACGCAGCTGCTGCTCCTGCACCGTCTCCTCTTGGTTGTTTCTTTCCTTGGTCGGAGGGATCTCCTGCTACTGTCCGGTCGCCCGTTCCAGAGGTGGTTGCACTGGCGTTGCTGTGGTTGGCGCTTCGGTCAACTTTGGCGGAGGTCTTCTCCCTGTCCCTCCTCCTCTTCTTGATCTTCTTGCTCTCGCTCCTCTTGAGATTCGTCCTAGTTCCCCCCTCTCGTTCTTCTTTCTCCATGATCAACAGCAGGTGTTTAGCCGGTAGGGAACTAGAGACGATATGCGTCCTGCCAGAGGCTGTAGGCACTAGCACCGTCGGTGTACGGGCTACCTACCACTGCTTCGTGATAGACCAAGTACTTTGCTTGAGTGCACATGAGAGGGAGAAACCCCGCACTCGGCGGCGGTGTGTTTGACGAAAATACATGCACGAAACCCCCTCTCGAAGCCCCCCACCCAAACAAGCCTACCGAGGTCCTGGTGCATTTCTCGCTCGCGCACCGCTCACCGCGCACCCTCCCCACACACCTCCACCGCTACGCTGTCGAGCGCGAAAGAGAGAAGGAGAGAGCACCGACTGACAAGCAATGCAGCGCGTGGCAGTAGCAGCTCTGGGGCGGGCAGCGTGCCTTACTGCAC